TTCTTGCAGTCCAAGGGACACCGACTCCCATCAGTGGCCCGGATCCAAATAGACATCTGGGTACCCACCAATGCTCCCTCTAAGCCGTGGAGTCTTGTGAGCAAAAATTCTACTTTGTGAGCTGCTGGCATTAAAGTTGTGAGCGAGCGATTTGGCTGCTGCATAAATTAAGTTTGCTCTGGAGCCATCCTTCCTGAGCTAAGACAAAAACGTATGAGCCGGAGGCTAAAAAACTGTGAGCTAGCTCACACTCACTCAGCTTAGAGGGAACATTGGACTACCCACTGTATCACAAGGGTAAGCGCTTGTAATGGGATTTTAGATGATGTTGAGAAGGCAGGCTCTGGCATTTCTTTTCTTTTTATATGTGTATGTGTGTGCGTGTGGGTGTGCATGGCGACCTCTGGTAACTGACCCCTCCTGGGGGCCTGGAGGATATTCAGAGAGGTGGCTGAATAAAGCCTGCCCCCGCCTCCCGACTGCTGGTATTCCCTGGAGGTCTCCCATCCGAGTACTTGCCGGAGTCGACCCTGCTTAGCTTCCGAGATCTGACGCGATCGGGCTTGCCTGGGCTGTCCACGTCAGGGCAGCATTTCTTTTCTTAACGACTACAAGATTCGAGGCCCGGCCTCCTGATCTCTCAGCTGCCGTTTCTCGTGTTTCGTCAACGCTTCTTTTTCGTTCTGCAGCCACAGACTCTCAGGAACTGAGTCCGGCCGTTGACTCATCTAGGCCGACTCATCAGCAGAGCGAGGTCCCGGGCAAGCGCTTTCTGCAGCCCTGCCACCCCAGGGCTCGATTCAGCTGGCAGGGAACCTCTGAACGCAAAGCGCGAGCGCTGCCAAAGAGCCGCCACAGGTTACCACTACTAGTATTACGGCCAAATGGTCATTACAGCTAGATGCGTCTGCTGACGCAGAACGAACTTCACAGAATGGACCTCCAACTGGTTCACACACCTCATATCTTTACCATTAAGTAGATGAAGGATCATTAAAACTGGCTTGAACCAATGCTCCCTCGAAGCTGTGGAGTCTCGTGAGCCAAAATTCTACTTTGGGAGCTACTGGCATTAAAGTTGTGAGCGAGCAATTTGGCTACTGCATAGATTAGTTTTCTCTGGAGTCATCCTTCCTGAGTGAAGACAAAAAACCTTGTGAGCCAGAGGCTAAAAAACAGCGAGCTAGCTCACGCTAACTCAGCTAAGAGGGAACACTGGCTTGAACGCTTTATATTTTAAATTATTTGAATGATAAGCTCAAAATTAGCAGGTAACGTGTAACGGCAATCCTCAACTCACCACAGACTTAATGATCGTTTTGTAATTGTCTTCATTTGTGCTTTACTAAGTGCTGCATTGTATTTTATTTCAATCTTCAATAAACTGTTTAAAATATTTTTTTTAAAGAGCCACCACACCTCTCTTTAAAAAGTGCACTTCTCATTCAGTTTTCCCAGGACTGATTCATCGGTCCCATGGATTAGGCGTTCGAGCGCCTCGTTCGGTCTTCCTGGGACCGATTCGTCAGTCCAGCGGGAACAGGCGTTCGAGCGCCTCGTTCGGTCTTCCTGGGACCGATTCGTCAGTCCAGCGGGAACAGGCGTTCGAGCGCCTCGTTCGGTCTTCCTGGGACCGATTCGTCAGTCCAGCGGGAACAGGCGTTCGAGCGCCTCGTTCGGTCTTCCTGGGACCGATTCGTCAGTCCAGCGGGAACAGGCGTTCGAGCGCCTCGTTCGGTCTTCCTGGGACCGATTCGTCAGTCCAGCGGGAACAGGCGTTCGAGCGCCTCGTTCGGTCTTCCTGGGACCGATTCGTCAGTCCAGCGGGAACAGGCGTTCGAGCGCCTCGTTCGGTCTTCCTGGGACCGATTCGTCAGTCCAGCGGGAACAGGCGTTCGAGCGCCTCGTTCGGTCTTCCTGGGACCGATTCGTCAGTCCAGCGGGAACAGGCGTTCGAGCGCCTCGTTCGGTCTTCCTGGGACCGATTCGTCAGTCCAGCGGGAACAGGCGTTCGAGCGCCTCGTTCGGTCTTCCTGGGACCGATTCGTCAGTCCAGCGGGAACAGGCGTTCGAGCGCCTCGTTCGGTCTTCCTGGGACCGATTCGTCAGTCCAGCGGGAACAGGCGTTCGAGCGCCTCGTTCGGTCTTCCTGGGACCGATTCGTCAGTCCAGCGGGAACAGGCGTTCGAGCGCCTCGTTCGGTCTTCCTGGGACCGATTCGTCAGTCCAGCGGGAACAGGCGTTCGAGCGCCTCGTTCGGTCTTCCTGGGACCGATTCGTCAGTCCCGCGGAAACGGCGTTCGAGCACCTTGTTCAGTCTTCCTGGGACGCAACAGGCCTTGCCCACCCTTCTCCGGCACCCACCTGTGGCCACTTCGCGGGTCATGGCCGAATTGAGCTTGATGATGGGGCTGAGCATCTGCTTCCCGTCCGGTGTCGGGGTGATGTTGCGGCTGTGGCACTTCAGCACCAGGCGCTCCTCTTGCTTCTGCAGAAGGACCAGGATGTCGTCCAGCAGGAGAACGTGGACATCTGGGGGAAAGCCAGGGAGGAGAGGCAGTGGGAGAAGGAGGAAGAGGCCAAGAAAGAAAAGTTTAGGTTGAGGACAAGCACACGTCCCCACCTCCTTGCTCAGCCCTGGCCTGCTAGACGCTTAGCTCCATGTGCAGAGGCAGTCAGCCTCTGGATCCCAGAGCCAGGAGGCAACATCAGGGGAAGGCCTCGGCCTCTATGGCCTGCTGTAGGCCCTCCAGAGGAACTGGGTGGCCACTGTGTGAGACAGGATGCTGGACTAGATGGACCACTGGTCTGAGCCAGCAGGGCTCTTCTGATGTTCTTATCAGAGAAACTCCTTGGTCTCTATGCCCTGTTGTTGGCTGTCCAGAGGAACTAGTTGGCCACTGTGTGAGAGACAGGATGCTGGACTAGAGGGACTACTGGTCTGATCCAGCAGGGCTCTTCTTAAATTCTTATGAAGGCCTCAGTCTCTCTGCCTTGTTGTTGGCTCTCCAGAGGAACTGGTCGGCCACTTTGTAAGACACAGGATGCTGGATTAGATGGACCGCTGGCAATGTTCCCTCTAAGCTGTGGAGTGTTGTGAGCAAAAATTCTACTTTGTGAGCTCCTGGCATTGAAGTTGTGAGCGGGCAATTTTGCTGCTGCATAAATTAGTTTGCTCTGGAGTCATCCTTCCTGAGCGAAGACAAAAATCTGTGAGCTGGAAGCTAAAAAACTCTGAGCTCGCTCACACTAACTCAGCTTAGAGGGAACACTGACCGCTGGTCTGATCCAGCAGGGCTCTTCTGATGTTCTTAAGAGGAGAAATCCCCATTCAACCTTCCCTAGGAGCGCCTTGGAATCCCATCCACTATTCACAAATATGGCCAGCCCCCTTCCATAAGCCACCCCCTGAGCCTACTTCGGTGGGGATGGTGGAGTATAAATTGAATAAATAATAAATAAATAAGCAAACACAGGCCAAAGCAAATGATTCCTGGGCTCCATTGATCCAGAGTGCCTCCAAAGCCAAGCCCCAGAGAAAACCCTCGACTCAATGCAGAAGAGCCCAGTTCTGGGGTAAGTGAAGAGTGGCAGATTTGAGTCCTGGGTCCTCAGCCAGCAGCAGAGGGAGGCTCATCTCTTGCTCAGGGCACATGAAAGCATGAAGTCCATCACAGGGGGAATGGCTGTGATGATCCCATAGCAAAAGATAGGCTCTCTCTTTTTACAGAGGTCTCTTATTCTTATCGGAGGCCTCCCCCTGATGATGCCTCGTTGGAACTGCCTCTGAACAAGGAGGTCCCCTTTAGTCACCATGACTAGTACCGTAGTTACTGATGGATCTCTCCTCCATGGATCGTCTAATCCCCTTTTAAAGCCAGGGCTATTTTTGGGCAGGAACACACAGGAACGGAGTTCCGGCTGGCTCCTGAGTTGGCCACGCCCAGCAGGAACTCATTAGCATAATAGGCCACACCCAACAGCAGACACTCATTAGGATTGGCTACATTAGGGGTGTGCGGCCTAACATGCAAAGGAGTTCCTGCTACAAAAAAAAGGCCCTGGTTCTTGACAACAAACAAGGTAAACAGAATAAGAAGCAAAAGGTGGGTGTGGCTGGATGACCACACTTCTGGTAACATGGGGGAGTGGCCTAATATGACAATGAGCTGTGCTGTCAGGGGTGTGGCCTAATATGCTAATGAGTTCCTGCTGTTGGGTGTGGCCTATTATGCTAATGAGTTCCTGCTGGGCTTCTTCTACAAAAAGAGCCCTGTAAAGGTGTTCAGCTCACCTACTGATTTATCCCTGGTCACACGCCAAGTTAGTGGTCCCTCATATACGAGCTTTCTGTTGGTGATGTCTGTGTTCTGTGGGAAAAGAGAAAGTTAGACTCCTGGCCTTTTCATCCACTCATGCACACTTGCCACCAAGAAAGAGGTTATAGAGAAATATATGACACTGTGTATAAGAGATGGGGAGCTGCGGTGCCTCAAGTGGTTAAGACGCTGAACTGAAGGCTGGAAGGTCGGTCGTTCAGCGGTTCGAGACCTGAGTGTGCCGCGCATGATGGAGTGAGCTCCCGTCTCTAGTTCCAGCTCCTGCCAACCTAGCAGTTCGAAAGCAAGAAATTGCTAGTAGGTAATACAGGTACCGCTTCGGTTGGAAGGGAACAGCGTTCCGTGCGCCTTGGTGTTTAGTCATGCCAGCCACATGACCACGGAAATGTCTTCGGACAGCACTGGCTCTTCAACTTTGAAACGGAGATGAGCACCGCAACCCTAGACTCAGATTCAACTGGCTTTCGAGCAAGGGAACCTTTACCTTTTTATAAGAGATGGATGCTTAAGGTAGATCTATTTTGTGCTTTTTATTTTTAAAATTTTTCTATCCTATTATATAAACATTGGCGTCAAGTTATTACCAAACATAAGTTCACCAAAACAATACGTCAAAGTTCAGGTTTGCACCACGTTCAAAACCTTACACTTTGATGTATCGTTTTGATGAACCTATGCAGGTAATACTTGATGCCAATATTTATATAATAGGATAGAAAAATTTTAAAAATAAAAAGCACAAAATAGATCTACCTTAAGCATACATCTATTACACACAGCGTCATATATTTTTCTATATCTTCCTAACACTGTGACCCATAGTTTTTGTACTAAGTAAGAAGGTGGCAGCGATAAACTGGTAGTCTTCGAGAAGCTGGCCCCCACGCCTTGCTTCAAATCAAAAATTTGTTTCAATCAAGTCTGCTCCCCAGACTTCACAGAGAACTATAAACATTTAATAACTAAGTTTCTTAGAATAACCTGAGAACTACATTTGGTATTCGCCATCTCTTCTGTTGCATTTCTAACAGGCAGAAACTCAACCGGCGCAGTCTCTCTCTGCACAGTGCCGGGAAATGAGGCACCTGCGGAATTCCTGCCTGTCACGAAAGGCCGAAGAGCTGGATAGGAAAACAGGCAGCAATTTTGTCAGTGAGGTTCGGCATGCACTGTCAGGAGCTCCTCTCCCGCTTGAGAAGTTCAGGGTGGTCGCTGGTCAATAGCGACTGCCCCAGTGACTCATGGGAGGAGAAGAAATAACACTAGTACAAAACTCACCCGAAATTCACTGAGCAGCGGATCGGTGCTTTGCTTCAGATTGGAGAGATCCAAGCGACGCTGGTAGTCTTTGAGTTTCTGAGAAGGGCGGCGAAGAAAGCAAAGGGAGAGCGAACGCGTGAGCATCCAAATGAATAACCAGGACTAAAACGGAAAGGAGGGACGATTCCCTGGTTTGTGTAATTGCAAAAACTAGATTAGTACAGGCCAAGCATTGGAAATCCACAGAAACACACACCCAAACTGAGGAAGCGGTACACCAAATGTCAGTTATGAGCAAAATCACATCATCTGTCGGGACAAGAGAAGACCAACCAAGGAATGGAAGTGATACAGAAAACTGGAAATGATTTATCATACAACAGTAGACGAACTGTGCCAAGGCTGAAGGCCAATCCTCTCTTAGAAAATGGCTTAACTTGGACGGATTAGTAGTTATTCTGTGCTTCTCAGTGGTTGCTGCAGACGGATGTATATTGCAGGGGTTGTATTGTGTTTTCAAATCAGAAAGAGGGGGGAAAGGCACGGTCACCCCGACAGGAAGCCGACGGAAAGAGGAGGGGCTCTCACCAGCAAATTCTCCATCTCGCGCACGGCCTGGTTGACGTGGTTCAGGATTTGCCGACAGCATTCGGCTGCCTTCTGCACCTTCGTGCGCTCCATCTCCTCTTCTGCAAAGGGGGGATCGAGACAGGTGAGAATGCTGTGCCCCTAAATATAAGTCCCTACTGGTTCCCTGGCTAGTGTCCGGCTCTGGGGACTGTGTGAGATCCAGGCAAGAGAGCTCCCGTTCTCTTTCCCCTTCCAGATACACAGCAAACAACACAAACAACCCACACTATTCTCCATGGAATTCTATGGAATTCCTAGAGTGTCGTGGTACACTGTGATGTCACTTCCGGGTTTTCACCAGAAATGACATCACGGCGTTGACGACACCATTTTCCTGGGCTTTCATTATAATATTACATAAATGTAATAACAACAATTATTATTTATAATAATAATAAGCTGGGGCTTTTACGAATTATTATGTAGTGTGGAATTATTATTTATTGTCTTATCAATGCCAGAAGCCGCCTTGGGCCTGCTTGCGGGGTAGGGCGGGATATAAATTGAATAAACTAAACTAAACTAGGGCTCCACCTGGAAGAAGCTCTTGGGGGCTGCCAGTAATGGGCCAGAAACCCTACTGAAGAGGCTGAATCAATCCCCTGGCCCTCCAGCTCCCTACCCCTAGACCGTATACTGCTCTTCCACACTAAGATGCGTACTGAAAGGTTTCCCATTGATTTCTTGCCCTTGGACTGCCTCTTCAGACCTTCGTCCACTGATCAATGGATGGACAGGTCCCCAAACGTTACCCAAGACCTTGCTCTATTTCGCACTTCCTTTGGCCCCTCCCCTACCGAAGTCCCGCCTTGCTTTTCACCAGCTACCCTCCTTTCAGTCCAGGGCAAATCCCTGCCCGCTCACCAGTGCATTTGGCAATGTTGTGAAGCAGCAGTGGATATTTGGTGAGCCTCTGCATCTCGATGGGGATGATGTCCTTCAGTTGCAGCCGCCTGCACCGAGGCTGACTTTCCGCCTCCTGCAGGGAAGAGGCGGAAATCTCATGGGGTGAAGGTGGAAAAAAGCGGAAATCCCACGTAGTCGAGGTGAGAAGTAGTAGGAGGAATTATGGGAAGGAGCTTGGAGTGGCCAAGTGCATCTGGACTTCGCATTTAGGAAGCCCTTCTTGTCTCCCTCCACCCCAAATATGCCCCCTAGGATATGTGTTTTTCCATCTTTAAGATCAGCATATCCGTCGTGCAATAATACCACTTGCCCCTAAAGCGGAAAGTCAAAAAGGTCTGAATTCCGTATTCTAAACATGCAAAAGGCTTAACGGAAAGATGCAAACGGTGTACATTTTAAACAACTTATTCTGCTTCCGCTGCCCTGGGTCAGTCTGAAAGAACAATCCAACCCATCCACAACAGAATTCCTCGTACCGTTGCAAACTAAACGAGGGGCTAGGGACTTGCGCTGCAAAAAACAGAAACTAAAGACGGAAGGGCGCTGAATCCTGCAGCCAAGACTGAATTCCACCTCCAAGCAGAACCCCAGGCCTTATTTAGTTGCCGCCGATGGATACCTGAATGAACTGGTTGAATCGGGGCTCCTTCTTCTGCTTGGCTTTCAGCTGCTCCAGCGCAAACGACTGGCGGCTGCAGAAGCGGGCAGAGATCTTCTGGAACCAGTTCCCTTCGGACCCATCGAACTGGGAGGTAAGAACAGGGCACACAGAAAGACCCTTCACAACCCTGGACTTCCTTGGTGGTCTCCCACCCAAGTACTAACTAGGACCAACCCGACTGAGCTTCCAAGGGGTGATGAGATGGTGAAAACCAGGCTGGTGAAAACCAGTGAGGATTGTGAGGCACTCCAAAGAGATCTGTCAAAGATGGGCGAGTGGATGGACTTCCTTGGTGGTCTCCCACCCAAGTACTAACTAGGACCAACCCGACTGAGCTTCCAAGGGGTGATGAGATGGTGAAAACCAGGCTGGTGAAAACCAGTGAGGATTGTGAGGCACTCCAAAGAGATCTGTCAAAGATGGGCGAGTGGGCGTCAACATGGCAAATGGGGTTCAATCTGGCCAAGTGCAAGGTGATGCACATTGGGGCCAAAAATCCTAAATATAAATACACGCTGATGGGGTCTGAACTGGCAGAGACTGATCAAGAGAGAAATCTTAGAGTTGT